TGTGTGTGTTTTATTGTGCTAATGTTCACTCTATATTCACGCAGTGTGAATATTAGAAAAATCACTGCATATAAATATGTCTAACAGTAGGGTTTGCATAGGCCTCCATCTCAGCCTGCCTGCATCTGAGTTCGTTTAAATTGCCAGAGGTGTTGGAGAGAACGACAACAAAAAAAAAAAAAAATTATACATTTTATTATGGCATTCATTTAAGTTGCTTTTATTCATTATATTATGTGGCATTCATTTAGGCGGTTAATTCTAGAAGGATAATTAACATTTGTGGGGTTAATTTTTTTTGGTCAGAGGTCTTAAAATTGTTTGAATTTTATTTAATTTTGGTGAAATTGTAAATGAAAATTGGTTAATTTTTAATGGGAATTACAGCTCTGTTTATTCTCGAAGGGAAAAAGGAAATCCAAAGGCTGCAATGGACATTGATTCAAAAATATTCTTTAAAGTTCCACGCCTTGTGTGGTCCTTGAAAAAATATTCTTTAAAAATTCCACGGCTTTTATGGTCCTTGAAAAAATAATCTTTAAAAATTCCGCGCTTTTTATGGTCCTTGAAAAAATATTCTTTAAAAAATCTACGGCTTTTATGGTCCTTGAAAAAATAATCTTTAAAAATTCCGCGCCTTTTATGGTCCTTGAAAAAATATTCTTTAAAAAATCCAAGCCTTATCTAGCTCTTAAAAAAAATATTTTTTTAGAAATTCCACGCCTTGTGTGGTCCATGAAAAAATATTCTTTAAAAAATTCACGCCTTGTCTAGCTCTTAAAAAAATATTCTTAAAAAAATCCAAGTCATGTTTAGTGCTTGAAAAAATATTCTTTAAAAAATCCAAGCCTTGTCTAGTTCTTAAAAATATTCTTTAAAAAATTCACGCCATGGACGGTCCTTGCAAAAATCTTCTTTAAAAATCTACAACTAATTGGTCCTTGGAAAATAGTCTTTAAAAAATCCACTCCTTGATCAGTTCTTAAAAAATATTCTTTAAAAATCCGCGCCCTGTTTAGTCCTAGAAAAACAATTTGTTTAAGGGACCGACAGGCTTCGATTTTTTAAGAAAAATATTTTTTCAGAGGATAACCAGGCGTCGATTTTTTAAGAAAAATATTGTTTCAAAGGACCAACAGACGTGGATTCAAAACAAAAATATTTTTTCAAGGACAATCATGGGCGTAGATCATTTAAAGAATGTTTTTTCAACGACAATCATAGGCGTAGATTTTTTAAAGAATATTTTTTTTGGAAGAACCAAAAGCGTAGATTTTTAAAATAATATTTTTTCAAAGGAGCAACAGGCCTGGATTTTTAAAAAAAAAATTAAAGGATCATTATAGGCATGGCTTTTTTTAAAAAATATTTTTTAAAGGATCATTATAGGCGTGGATTTTTTAAAAAATATTTTTCAGAGGATCATTGTAGGCGTGGATTTTTTAAAGAAATATTTTTTCAAAGGAACACTCTAGGCGTGGAACCTTAGAAAAAAATGTTTTTTAAAGGATCACTCTAGGCGTGGATCCTTGGAAAAAATATTTTTTAAAGGATCACTCTAGGCGTGAATCCTTGGAAAAAATCTCTTTTTAAAGGATCACTCTATGCGTGGATCCTTGGAAAAATATTTTTTCAAAGGACAACTCTAGGCGTTGATCCTTGGAAAAAATATTTAAAAAAAGTACGGCTGTTGATCCTTGGAAAAATATTTTAAAAAAAGTACGGCTGTTGATCCTTGGAAAAAAAATTAAAAAAAGTACGGCTGTTGATCCTTGGAAAAAATATTTTTTAAAAAACCACACCTGTTGGTCCTAAGAAAAATTTGATTTTTAAAAGTTCCACGCCTGTTAAAAAATCCACGCCTGTTGGTCCTTTGAAAAAATTTATTTTTAAAGATCCACGCCAGTAAAAAAATTCACGCCTGTTGGTCCTGAGAAAAAAATATATTTTTAAAAAATCCACGCCTTTTGGTTCTTTAAAAAATATTTTTTCAAAAAAATCCAAGTCTTTTGGTCCTCTGAATAAATAATTTTTAAAAAATCCTGTTGGTCCTTTGAAAAAATATTTTTTTACAAAATCCACCCCTATAGTGGTCCTTAAAAAATATTTGTTTTAAAAAATTCCGCGACTTTAATGGTCTTTAAAAAAATATTTTTTAGAAAATCCTGTTGGTCCATTGAAAAATTTTCATTAAATAACCCACAATTGTTGGTCCCTTGAAAAAATATTTTTTTTTTAATCCACGCCTATAATGGTCCTTAAAAAATATTTGTTTTATAAAAATCCGCGACTTTAATGGTCCTTAAAAATATTTTTTTAAAAAATCCACACCGACAGTGGTCCTCTGTAAAAATTTTTTTTTTAAAAAATCCACACCGACAGTGGTCCTCTGTAAATTTTTTTTTTTTAAATCCACTCCTATAATTATCCTTTGAAATATATTTAAAAAAAATCCAAACCTGTTGCTCCTTTGAAAAAAAATTCTTTGAAAAATCTACGCCTATGATTGTCGTTGAACAAAAATATTTTTAAAAAAAATCCAAGCCTGTTGCTCCTTTGAAAAAAAAATCTTTGTAAAATCTTCGCCTATGATTGTCGTTGAAAAAAATTCTTTAAAAAATCCACGCCTTGTGTGGTCCATGAAAAAATATTCTTTAAAAAATCCACGCCTTGTGTGGTCCATGAAAAAATATTCTTTAAAAAGTCCACGCCTTGTCTAAAGGTCTTTGAAAAAATATTTTTTAAATAATTCACGCCTTTGGGTTCTTTGAAAAAATATTCTTTAAGAAATCCACGACTGCTGGCCTTGAAAAAATATTTTTTAAAAAATCCACGTTTATAGTTCTGCAAGTCCTTAAAAAATATATTTTTAAAAATCCACGTTTATAGTTCTCCAAGTCCTTAAAAAAATATTTTTTAAAAAATCCACGTTTATTTAGTCCTTGAAAAAATATTTTTTTGGTTGGTTGATGTTGGTTGAAAAAATATTTTTTAAAAAAACCACGCCTTGGATGTTGCTTGAAAAAATATTTTTTAAAAATCTGCGCCTATAATTGTAGTTGAAAAAAATATTTTCTAAAAATCTACGCCTATGATTGTAGTTGAAAAAAATATTTTTAAAAAATCTGCGCCTATAATTGTAGTTGAAAAAAATATTTTCTAAAAATCTACGCCTATGATTGTAGTTGAAAAAAATATTTTTAAAAAATCTGCGCCAATGATTGTAGTTGAAAAAAATATTTTTAAAAAATCTGCGCCTATAATTGTAGTTGAAAAAAAAAATTTTAAAATCCACGCCTTGGATGTTGGTTGAAAAAATATTTTTTTAAAAATCCACGCCTTGGATGTTGGTTGAAAAAATTATTTTTTTAAAAATCCACGCCTTGGATGTTGGTTGAAAGAATAGTTTTTAAAAAATCCACGCCTTGGATGTTGGTTGAAAAAATAGTTTTTAAAAAATCCACGCCTTGGATGTTGGTTGAAAAAATATTTTTTTAAAAATCCACGCCTTGGATGTTGGTTGAAAAAATATTTTTTTTAAAAATCCACGCCTTGGATGTTGGTTGAAAGAATAGTTTTTAAAAAATCCACGGCTTGGATGTTGGTTGAAAAAATATTTTTTAAAAAATCCACGCCTTGGATGTTGGTTGAAAAAATATTTTTTAAAAAATCCACGCCTTGGATGTTGGTTGAAAAAATATGTTTTTAAAAATCTACGCCTATGATAGTCGTTGAAAAAAATATTTTTTAAAAATCTACGCCTATGATTGTCGTTGAAAAAAATTTTTTTTAGAACAGTGTTTGGCTTGCTTGTTTGGGATACCATAGTATTTTGTTGTTGCAAAATCGTCAGGCAAAATCCCATTATTGTTGTTTTTATAAAAACAACGTTTGTTTATGAGTGGAGAACGATGGTAATGTTTACCAGGGGGTAAGGCAGGAAATACCTAGGTTTCGGAAAGAGCCACCAATCCTCATCAGTTCCCTTGTTTGCAACAACAAAAATTTTTTTTTTTTTAAATCTACGCCTATGATTGTCGTTGAAAAAAATATTTTTTTAAAATCTAAGACTATGATTTTTGTTGAAAAAAAAAATATTTTTTTAAAATCTGCGTCTATGATTGTCGTTAAATAAATATTTTTTAAAAATCTACGCCTATGATTTTTTGTTGAAAAAAATATTTTTTAAAAATCTACGCCTTTGATTGTCGTTGAAAAAATTAAAAAAAAAAAAATATTTTCCAAAGACCAACATGCGTGGATTTTAAAAAAAAATATTTTTTCAAGGACTAGATTTTATTAAAAACATGTTTTTAAAAAACTTATACAAGACGTGTTTTTTTTAGGAAAAATATTTTTTGAAAAAATATATTTTTTAAAGGACCAACAGACGTGGACTTTTTAAAAAAATGTTTTTTCAAAGGACCAACAGGTGTGGATTTTTTAAAGAATATCTTTTCAAGGACCACACAAGACGTGGGTTTTTAAAAGAATATTTTATTCAAGGACCACACAAGGCGTGGATTTTTTAAAAAATATTTTTTCAAGGACCACACAAGGCGTGGATTTTTTAAAAAATATTTTTTTAAAGATCAAGATATGTGGATATTTAAAAAATATTTTAAATATATTTTTTTAATCCATATTTATTGAATTTATATCCTTTGTCACAATTTTCTGCAATATCAGCAATTTTTAGTTCAATGTTTCTGCCGATTTCCAGCAAAAACCCTAGAGAGGCCACCAGCCCCACCCGGACATGAAAAATTAATTACACAAAAATAAACTTTGTAACCATAATTAAAATGTAATAAAAGTTCTACAAACAATTTTATTGTTGTTGATGATGATGGTGCTGATGCTGGCGATGGAAATTTATAATGAAAAACTACCAAAAAAAAAACCAATAACCCCCTCTCCCCCATTGAATGCATTGAGTTAAATTTTATATAAAGTTTGATTTTTTTCCTCTCTCTATATATTTTTAGAAAAAAAAATTGAGCTGTCCACAAAAACCACATAAAACCATTTAAAATTAAAATCGAAAACAAAAAAAAAAAGAAGAGGAAACTCGAAAAAAAAAAAAAAATCTGGAATAAAATCGACTGCAGCCAAGAGTAGACGACCGACCGAACCAAACGAGCAGCTATTCAAAATGAAAAATGTGAAAATGTAAAGCAATTAATAAATAATAAAAAAACGAACCGCAAACGGATTTGAATAAAAATCCAGAATCCTGTCCAAAACCAAAAAAAAAAGAAGAAACGACAACAACAAATCACACAATCTAAAAAGCGGTTACAAAAACAAACAATAGCCGAATCTCCGCTCTAAACCACCAATGTCATAAAAAAATATTTTTGTTAAAACTAAACGAGTTATTCGGGCCAACCAGTCGCAGACATGATGGTCATGACCATATGAACTGCCGCTAAAAGAGAATTGCCAACAAAAAAAAAAAAAAAAAAAAAAACAACTACTACTACTCGAAGAGTGGATAGATAGTTATATGGACACACCGACCGACCGGAGTAATAAATGGAAATAAATGTCATGTCCAAAAGTGAAAGTGAATTACTGGCCATACCGGACATAGTCAGGGCCAAATTTGCCACAACTACCTCCCGCCATTGTAGCAACAGAAACAAAAATAACAGCAACAACCACTCCAGATCTACGACCCACAAAAAAGCCACCACAAGGGGAGTGGCTAAAAGGCTTAGTGGGGCCTCAAATTGCTGTCATCACCACCCGGACAATGATGATGATAATGGCGGTGATGATGATGAGTTTGATGATGACAACAATTGTGGCCACAAGTTAGTTAGGCATAGCCGATCCATACCTCACCCCCCTGCAACACTGGTGTCCCCCCACAAAAGCCAAAAAATGAAACGGAAACGTAAAATACCGGAAATTCCATGGCTAATTGTTGCAATTTGCTTTAATTGTTATGTTATATATCGGGAGGCCAGTGCGGCCATAGCCCAACCCTCAGACGCCACTTCTTCCATCACTGCAACATTATCACGGTTCTCAGTGCTCAGTGACAAAAACTCCAGTATCAGCAACAAACTATTAACCTCTTCATTATCCGCCAATCGTAGCAGCCCATTCGTAACCCAAACCTCAACATTTAATGTTGCACGTTTGAAACGTGCCACACACTCTTCGCCGGATGGCCGCCATATCGATGTGGATGTGGACCTGGATCCCAACGATATGCATGGCCATTTACAGCATGGCCATCATGGCGATTTAGTGGATGCCGATGATTTGTATTTACATAATTTGGATATTGGCTATCATCATGATGGGACAGGTCTGCTGCCACATGAGCTGCCGGAACATGATCATATTGCACATCATTTGGGTGAGTTTTGGAATTTATTTTTTGTTTTTATATAATATCAAATATTATGGAGATTTATTTAGGTATGCCATCAAATTTGCTATTATACAAATGCCTAAAAGTATGCAACAATTTTTGGGATTTAACATAAAGGGACATGTTCCATAATTACTAAATGTAAATAGTATTTGAAAAATATTGAAAATATATTTTCATAGAATCTACTAAAAAAAAAATATTTTTTAAAAAGAGTTTTACAAAATCATGGAATTTTTTGTTGAAACCAAGTTATGAAGTCTTTGAGAAATTATTTTTTAAAAAGCCACGGCTTTAAGTAAATTTTCACAATAAATTCAAAATATCTAAAACTCAATTAATCATTGAAAATATTGACTCTTAGTAAAACGCCTGAAATAATTTGTTAGTCCTTCAAAAAAAATATCCTTCGAAAATTATTCCTTGAAAATTATGTATATTTCAAAATAAAAAAAAAAAAATTAAAGTTAGTAATTTCTTTGAAAAACAAGTTAAAAAGTATCCGTCAGTTTTGCCGACAGATGTATACCCTCAGCCAATGTACGATTACGTAAACATATTTTGACTTCTGTTATGATTATTCAAATGTTTAACCTCTTGTGGAGTACGTTCCGAAAGAATGGACCAATATTGGCCATTTCGTATCGGACCTAAATAAATATGATATAAATATTGCGACGTTTCAGGATTGGACTATTTTGGTAACTTCCGTCACTTTACATGACATATATGATAATTTTTAGAAAATCGTGGGCTACCAGATATAGTCGATTGAAGCATTCTATTTTTATGCTTCATCTAGTATCTAGTATAAAAATATTGGTATGGGCAATATTACAAGAAAATCGAACATTTATATCCAATTTATGAAGAAGTGGACCGATATATCCCATCTTCACAACAGATCTTTTGTTAGTGAACATAATGAGATATGTGAAATATAAAGAGAACCTGACGCTTATTTCGGATTTTATAAATGTTTTGGTTATTCAAAAATTTGACCCTTAGGGGGGAGCTACCAGAAGGACTTGATGGAGTGTGGATGGAGTGGATGGATTATTCATTTTGCACCTGACCTAGAACTGACGCAAACATTAGGATTTGTAAAGTTGGAGCAAAATCGGATTATTGCTTCTCTTTCTTTGCAGAAAATATATAATTTTTTTTGTGAAAATTTCGACCTTTTGTGGGGGATGTACCAGAAGGAGTGGACGAATGTATTCCATCTTGGCACTAGATTTGGGTTTATACAATTATTGCGATGTGTGAAAATTGAAGACAATCAAACTCTTCAATGAAATTTTATAAGAGTTGCAATTATTCAAAATTTTGATTTTTTTTGTGGGAAAGGTACTTTATGGAGAGGACCGATGTTGTCCATTTTTGCACCTGACGTAGCACTGACGCAAATATTAGCATTTGCAAAGTTGTAGCAAAATCGGATTATCGTTTCTCTTCCTGTGCAGAAAATACATTTTTTGAAAAATTTTGTGTGGGAGGTACCAGAAGGAATGGACCGATATATTCCATCTTTACACCAGACCTTGGGTTGGTAAAAATATTGGGATGTGTGAAATTTCAAGACAATAGGACTGTTATATCACATTTTATAAGAGTTGTAATTATTCAAAATTTTGACCCTTTGTGGGGGAGGTACTTGATGGAGTAGACCGATATTGACCATTTTCGCACCTGACGTAGCACTGACGTAAATATTAAGAATTGCAAAGTTGGAGCAAAATTTGGATTATCGTTTCTCTTCCTGTGCAGAAAATACATTTTTTGAAAATTTCGACATTTTGTGTGGGAGGTACCAGAGGGAGTTGACCGATACATTCCATTTTCACACCAGACCTTGGGTTAATAGAATTATTGAGATGTGTGAAATTTGAAGACAATCGGACTCTTACATAACATTTTATAAGCGTTGTAATTATTCAAAATTTTGACCCTTTGTGGGGGAGGTACCTGATGGAGTGGACCGATATTGTCAATTTTCGCACCTCACCTAGCAATGATGGAAATATTATGATTCGCAAAGTTGGAGCAAAATCGGATCATCCTTTCTCTTTCTGTGCAATAAATTATTTTCTTTGAAAATTTTGATATTTTGTATGGGAGGTACCAGAAGGAGTGGACCGATATTCTCCATCTCCGAACTCGATCTAAGTTTGACAATAATATTACGATGTACCAACTTTGGATCAAATCGGATACTCCCTTCGAGAGTTATCGTGCGCACCAGCCAGCCAGGCAGACAGACAGACAGACGGACGGACGGACGGACGGACGGACATCGCTAGATCGACTCAAAATGTCCTGAAACGGATTTGTTCCAAAGAGACCTAGGGTCTAAAACCGTTATTTCGACTAGGCACGTTTTGGCCGTATCAAATGATATATACCCTCTGTAGCCATATGGCTGAGGGTATAAAAAAACTTTCTTCAAAAATACACGTCTGTATAACCTTTGAAAGGATATTCTTTAAAAATCCCTTAAACAATATATTTTTTTAAAATCCATGATTTGTTGGTCCCTTGAAAATTTTTTTCTAAAAAAAAATCCACGCTGAGTGGTCCTTTAAAAAATATTCTTTAACAAAACCCACATTAATGGAGGTGCTTTGAAAAATATTCTTTACAAAATACATGCCTTTGATATATTTCATCCTGATGAAGGTCCTTTGAAAAAATATACATTTTAATGGACGCCTTTTGAAAAATATTCCGAAAAACTCCATGTTGATGAAGGTCCTTTAAAAAATATTTTTTAAATTATTTTTTGTAAAAATTGTGGTATTCATGGTCCAAAAAATTACATAAAACCCAAATTTTATTTGTGGTAGTAAAAATATTTTGTTATTAAAAAATTTAATATTTTTTCAAAAAAAAAAAAAAAAAAAAAAGAAATTAAATAAAAAATTTCCGTGTGAAATGCTTCTAAAACTATGTTTATAACCTCAGCCATATGGCTAGAGAGGGTATATATCATTTGATACGACCAAAACGAACGCCTCATCGAAATAACGGTTTTAGACACCAGGCCTCTTTGGACGAAACTCATTTCAGGACATTTGCAGTCGATCTAGCGATGTCCGTCCGGCCGTCAATCCTAAGATTATTACAAAATTTTTATGATACCTTCTTCAAAAAAGCCGAAATATTTTAACAAATACTTTACGGCACTGAATGATAAAGAATAATCCGATTTTGCTCCAACTTTGCAAATTATAATATTTTCATCAATGCTATGTCAGGTGCGAAAAATCATAAATCGCGTAATTAGCATCCTACCCAACTAAAGATCTGTTGTAAAGATGGTAGGGATCGGACCATTCCTTCTGGTACCTATCCCACAAAGGGTCAAAGTTTTGAATAACCAAAGCGATTATAAAATCCGAAATAAGTATCCGGTTCTCCTCTCCATTTTTCACACATTCCATTTTTATACCCTCCACCTTGGAAAGGAGGGTAAATTAAGTTTGTCATTCCGTTTGTAACATCCTTAAATATTTGTCTTAGACCCCATAAAGTATATATAAGTTAACGGCTCACCCTAATAAACATCAAACTAAATATGCAAACCAACTAGTAAACATTCCCATCATTATGCTGCGCAAGCAGTCCGACAAATCAACAGGAATATGACACCAGGGCAGTCATCCGCCACAAACACGCGCACTAATACCAGCGCACCGCAAGTGATGACTCAGCGTAATAACGAGCACGACCAGGCTGCAGTATAATATTAGTTTTAAGTTGAAAGCAATCATAATTGTAAATCCAACAAGAGAGGTGCATAGCACCGCAACATAAATGTTAGTAACAAAATAAAGAAACACCATAGCAGTGTGAAATAACATTAACTTCTAACATTAACTGGCGCCCAACAACTACAAGGATCAACACATCCTAGAACCCAACAACTACAAGGATCAACACATCCTAGAACCCAACAACCACAAGGATTAAAACATCCCAACAGCCGGTACGAGAACCGTTCCTGAGTAGGAGTACGAAAAGGATGTTACGTAAGAACTAGCGGACTACCGGGATATAAGGAAAATGATCAAATTATTATTAGTAAGTTATTATAAATTTAACAAAAGTAAAAAAGAAGAAATGTTAAAATAAAATTAAACAAAATAAGGAATAACACAGAAAGTGAAAGTGTGAAATCTAATTTACAAAAAATCATATTTGTGCTAGAATACGTTTAACAAAAATAACAAAGTAAGAAGAAAGAAATGTTAGAGTAAGGTAAAACAAAAAATAAAGTGTGACATCTAAATTTACAAAAAAAATCATATTTGTGCGAAATTAACAAATGTAAGAAATATGAAATGTTAGATTAAGTTAAACAAAAAAATAGAGTGTGGCATCCAAATTTAAAGAGTCATATCCGTGCTGAAATAAGTTTAAAGAAATTTTGATAATAGATTTGTGACGAGAACTAGGATTTGGTGTTTCTTTTTCTCCTTTTTTTCGAGCGGCCAATGCCGGAAGATTTAAACAACTTAATAACAAGGGTCGAAGCTATGAGTGTTTCAGGACAGACATCTTCGCCTTCTGGGGCAGCTCCCGTAAGGTTTAATCCCTTTACGGAAAGTCAGACTAATGAGGTGAAACGAATAATAAGTGAGACGGTGGCAAACCTTCTCAAACAGGGGGAGGATGTTACCGCCACTAAAGATGTCGACATAGAAGGATCTGGGGATATCTCAGAAGGAGAGAGAATACCAGACATAGTGAAGACGTTAAGGGAATTCTCGGGCAAGCCAGGAGAATTTAGTTCGTGGAGGAAAGCTATTGATAGGATCATGAACATTTATGAGTCACAAAGGGGAACAACCAAATACTTCACAATTCTACACACTGTTAGGCATAAAATTGTTGGTGAGGCCGACACGGCTTTGGAGTCTTATCGGACCCCATTAAATTGGAAAGCGATAAGAAAGTGTTTAGTGCTTCATTTTTCAGATAAG